GAAACAGGAACCTTCATCCATTGCTGGTGGGAATGTAAAAGGGTACAGCCACCATAGAAAACAGTTTGGCGGTTCCTAAAAAAGTTTAACATAGAACTACCAGAAGACCCAGCAATTCCACTCCTAGGTATATAACCAAAAGACCTGAAAACAGTGACAAGAACAGACACATGTACACCAGTGTTCACTGCAGCACTTTTCACAATAGCCAAAAGGTGGAAACAATCAAAATGTCCATCAACTGATGAATGGATAAACAAAATGTGGTATATACATACAATCAAATATTACTCAGTCATAAAGAGAATGAAGTTCTAATGCATGCCACAACACAGATGAACCTAGAAAACATTATGCCAAGTGAAATAAGTCCATAACAAAAGGACAAACACTCTATGATCTTGCTTATATGAAATAAGCAAATACACAGACACCAAAAGTTATTAGTGGTTACTAGGGGTGAAATAGAGGGAGAAAGAGGAAGTTTTTGCTGACAGTGCACTGAATGTATGTTTCTGGTATGGGGATAATTTGGAAAAAGACAGTAAGAATGGTTGCACAACTTGAAGAATGTAATCAATGTCACTGAATTGTACATGTAGAAATTGTTGAATTGCTGTATGTTTTGTTGTGTATAATTTTACCACAATAAAAAAGGAAGAATAAAAGCACTAATTTTCACATTATTTGCATACAATGATTAAAAATGATGTGCTAGGAACTACTATTCATTTCCCTAATATCTGTTCTCTTTCCTCCAAGAGAATACCCAAATTTTAGCTGAACATACAGCAGCCCAAAATAAAGACAAAATTTCCCAGCCTCCCTTGCAGCTAGATGTGACCATATGAGTAAGTTCTGGCCAACAGAATATAAGCAGAAGAGGCCTATAGCAACTTCCAAAAAATCTTTACAAGACCACTGTCACCTGAGCTTTGTTCCCTTCTTCCAATAAAATGTAGATGTGACAGCTAGAGTACTAGTCATCCAATCTGGTTCAGGAAAATGAGGGTCACACCCTGGACATGACAGAGTGATGGGATGAAAGATCTATATACTCTAAAACTTCATTGAAAAGAGCAATCACATCAGTCCTGGACTCTTATCTCTGAAATTTAATATTAAGAGAGATTAACTTTTATCTTTTCTTTGCCATTGGTATTTTGGGTGTCCCAAAAATACCAGCTGCCTTCAGATAAAGTAGGAGGGCAGATTTATAAATGGCAGATTTTCATAGACATATTGTGAAGCCAAATCTCTCTCAGGAAGCATTAACAGGGCATTATCTCTTTATAAGTAACTATTTTCATTCTTATGACAGATATAGTTTATACTGGGAGCCAGAGAACCTAGGTTCAAGTCTTAACCTGTGCCACTAATTGGCAAACTAGTCAACTTCTCTAAGCTTATGTGTCCTCATTCAATAAACTGGGATAGCAGTACCTATGTGATAAAATTCTCGTGAGACTTAAACCATAACTTATATGAAAGTGTTGCATAAGCTATAAATCACTACACACATAACAGTTTATGAGAATAATAAGATAACCTGTGTAAAGAAGTCCTGTCTGTCTCACTCACATTGTATCCACAGTAACAATTGTTCAATGACTATTTGTTGAATAAATATTTTTAAGTCCTTGCTAAATGAATGTATTATTCTGCTTCGGAGTTGAATAAAGTTCAAAGATCCTTAATGTTAATTAAAATACTACTTGAGCCCCTAAGAAGCACAATTCTTAATTTTTTATGTCAGTCAAAAAGGTACAAGGTTGTGAAGACAGAAACTATGGCTAATCCTTCTATCTAGTTCAAAAGTTAGACCCATTTGCCACAGCAAAATATTTTAAACTAGAAGATAAGTTGTGTATTCAGAAATAAAATTTTTATGACCCTTTTCCCATGAACAATGTTACACATAAAATATATTTTAATATTTAAACTACTAACCTTACCACATCAAATGAAGGACTTCCTCACACTGGATTGTGGCTAAAATATTTTATTAAACTAAGTATGTAATTTGTAAATGGTTCATAAGAAATTTTAAAAGCAAAGTTATAAAAAATTTTCAATACAAAAGTACAGAGTTAACAGCAAAATTACATTTTCTTTATAGTACAAATAAAAACATTTTGTTTCTGATATAGTGTCTGAAAATTTTTATAATATATTTTCCAACTGATAGCTGCAATATTATATTTTAATAAGAAATCCCATGGTTAATTCAATCATTATATTAATAACAGGTTTATCATTTGAACTGTAAATATCAAATGTTCACTTTTAAGGAAAATAATAATAAAATTTGTCATCAGAAAATGTGAAGTTATAAAAGGCTCTGTAGGATAAAGATATGTTCTTATTTCTCTATTAAATTCTGTAAAGAGGCATTAAGAAATATTGTAAACTTGAATTACATTAAAAAATAAGCACCATTAACAAACATTCTATATAAACTTACACCTTTTAAATCAAATTTTTTTTGGCCACAAAAACATGTTTTCTTTATTGTGTAAATAAACATAAACAACATTTAATCATTACACAGGAAAATTATCAAACTTCACCTCACTGCACAATGGAAAAACTTAGAAAAAGCACTTGGAAGAAACAGCACACATTATTTTTGTGTCTTTTTTTAATACATTTTGTCATTTTCTTAAATTGAGAGCAGTCAAAACATTGTCAGAGCAATTTCCTGAGTTTAAAAATTTCCAATTTCCAGCCCAGAAATAACCAATCCTGCTATTATATATGTCCTTTTTCTAAGCATATAAAACACTTGAATTCAAAAAGAAAGAGACAAAATAAAGGACAGGAAAACATACAAAAGAATTGTTTGGCTTTTTTTTTTTTTTCCTCAGAATGTGTTATAATATACAAGACACTTTAAAGTGAGTCACAATCTCTCCTATAAAATATGTCTTCTATTTAAAGGCCATAGAATTACAAATAGTAAGGAAATACTAATAAACTGAAGAAATAATATAGAAGCATATGAACAGCCAATAAATGTAAGAAAACATACTTCCATTTCTCACGTTGGGGTAGGGAGATGGAAAGATTGAAAATACTGTTAAGACTACTTCCCACCCTCATCCACGTCACCTCAGGGTTCCACATTAGTTCTTTTCTTCGTGGTAAATACCAGTAAGAGACTATTGGAAGGATGTAACTATTATGAAAACATTCCAAACTACAGAAGTGCTATACTTTTAAAATATTTTAAGATATTAATTACGTTTACAAAAAAACATTCTAATGAGGCATGTATTGCTACAAATATACCAGGACATGAAAACTTTGATAATCCCCAAACTATCTATTACTTTTGGCATATAGGGTTTAGAAATGGGCAAAAGAAGAAAGGAGGAATTATAAAATTCTCTTTCATGTGTTGTTTCAATCAGAGGAGTAGGAGGAAATTTAGGTTTAAATACTTCCATAAAAACACAAAAATGATATTCAAATTTGCCTACATATTTATGAATAATGATTAAAAAGAAATGTTACTAGAACCAAAATAAGGCAAAAAATTAAACTTGACACTTGGCTTCTTTCACTTGGTTTCTACCCACAGAATACCTCAATTCTAGTTCCTTTTTACTTTCCTTCATTCAGCAACACCATAACAATACTGAAATAAGTCTAACTGAAGTGTTCAAAAGTAAAACATTGGATGAGGAAATATAAAAACACAGACGATGAGTATGCAGCTGTAAACACTCCAACAATCAGGTTTTAGTATTGTTAGTCACATCTCTTAAATCACATTAATTTATACACCGGAATGTTTGTTTTCACTAACTAACAACTGCAGTTTTATATTATGTTGTTGAAAAGAATTGCTTTATTTTTAATGTACACAATTATTTTAGACATCACAAAAAACATACTAAATTGCTGGCATTTTTTCAGGTTTTTTGAAACAAATTACTATAAACATAAGAATGTGAATAATACTTTGATATCAGTCACTAACCATTTCTAAATAATAAACATATATTCTGATTGTTTTGAAAATAAAGTTCACTGATAAGGCTCTTCTTTCAAAAGCATGCATTCATGAAATATAAAAACATGTATTTTTAAGTTTTATTTTCATTAAAATGTTTGCCTTTTTGGGAAGCCATTCTGTATTTCAGGGTTCTATCAGTAACAGCTCAATTTTATAATTCTTGATCCAAATGAGCTCTTTAAGCTTAAAAAAAAAAAGCAACACAATTGTTTGCTAAAATTACTTATGTTGAAAATATTCTCCATCTCTGAAGGCAAATTTATTTAAACCATTGTCTCATACTGGAAAATTCTGTTTAAAGTTTAACACATTAAACTTATATAAAGGAAATTATAATTTACATACTAATAGGAATTATTAGCTCACCAAATAAAAGGAGTCAATGAACATTTCCTTTGAGAAAGTTGGCTCTTAATAAAAATAAAAGTAAAAAACTTTAAAAAACTATGATTCCTTTCATGATTATACAAAAAAGGTTTTCTATATTTGTTTCAAGTTAATAGGATTTTTACTTACTGCAATTTAGAAATTACATGCCTCAATCTAAATAAAGCTATTTAGTACTGTCTTACATACTACGTACACAGACAGTTCTAGAAGCAGTTCTATAAGGCAGCAGCATTTGAAAGATATCTAACCATCTGTCCTTCTCTGAAAACTTTTCTGCCTATGGAAGGTATAATACTGTAATATAACCTCAGACTCAACTTTCCTCCCAGAAAATGCATAGAGGAGAGGGACAAAAGGTAAGAGATCAAGATCATATAAAAGCAGAAGAAAGTGCAACAGCATGTATTCCTTACTATAGGATATGGCAAAATGAAGTGATTTCATGTGTTTTGTTTTGAAATAAGAAAATATTTTTGTTAGGTCTCCTATCTTTACTGCTACTTTTTTTTTTTTTTTTAATTACAAGCCTTTAAAGGGCATGAACCCTGTCTCAAAGCACTTTAAATGCCTTTCACAGAAATCTTTGGGACTTTACTAAATGTCAGACAAGTAATACAAAGGTAATATTTTCTCTCTGAAAGAATTAGAGGACATAAAACTTTAAAACTGTAGCTGATAATTTTCACAGACATTTTCTGATCAATAAAAACCCTCTTTAACATTTTTAACAGGAAACATATTTGGCATGTGATTCAGTAAAAAAATTAAACTTCTCTTGAATTTTGAGAAAAACAAATTTTTTTCTGTTTTACAACTGACATTTTCTAAGAACGCATCTGTTTACAGTAAAATTGACTGAATTACTGCAAGTAAAACTAATTTTAACCTACAAACCTTCACATTCCTCAGTCAAGGATGCTTATTTTACTTTAGCATGACTTTCAAGCACCCTGGTTTAATTTCGGAGAACCTGTAAAAAATGAAAATAGAGTTATTTTAAAGATAAAAATTTCACCTGTCTAAGGAATATGTACCCCTATAAACAATTTCAACTGCCTATGCTTAATATGGAGCCTTGGTGGCACAGTGGTTAAGAGCTTGGCTGCTAACCAAAAGGTCGGCAGTTCAAATCCACCAGTTGCTCCTTGGAAAACCTATGCGGCAGCTCTACTCTGTCCTATAGGGTTGCTATGACTCGGAATCGACTCCATGGAAACAGGTATGGGTTTTATGCTTAATATAAGGAGCCCTAGTGGTACAGTGGTTAAAGCAATCAACTGCTAACCAGAAGGTATGGGGTTTGAAACCACCAGCCATTCCACAGGAGAAATATGTGGCAGTCTGCTTCCACAGAGATTTATAGCCTTAAAACAAAACCCACTGCCGTCAAGTCAATTCTATCTTATAGCAACCCTATAGGACGAAGAAGAACCGCCCATAGTGTTTACAAGGAGCAGCTGGTGGATTTGAACTGCTAATATTTTGGTTAGCAGCCGGACACTTAACCACTGCACCACCAGGGCTCTGCTTATGTTTATTTTAATCTATTATCAAAACAAATACAATCCTAAGGCTGGAAGTTACTCTTAACTTAGTAGCTATTGAAATTTAAGATTTTTCAAAACCTCCCAAATCTGAATTTGACCTTTACAAAGACGAACATGCTGTATAAAGATGATGTCTACATTACAATATTTCTGGGTATTAGGTCAGTACCAAGAAGAAATCTCTGATGTAGCAGGTAAAGTCTGATTCACTTGGCCATGCAACGCCTCCAACTCTCTCAGTGTGAAACTTAAAGGAACACTCGTTTCTAAAATAGATCATTAACCCAAACCTGGTAACTACTCCTTCCGTCAAAATAACTCTGAAATGTCACCCTGTTTTCATGCTCAGAATTAATGCTACCATTTCCTACAATATAGTCAAATAACATTTTACAACACAGCATAAACAAAATATGCTACATGAATTGAAATTAGGGGTGGGGAAGACCGTGTTATACATACATCCTCAGAGATTCTATCCATCAACAGGTCTTTATTCTTGGACTTTTCTTGTCATTTTCTGCTACTGAATAATGACCACTTAATGAAAAAGGACATTTCATGTCCGTCAACTAAAAGTGTTAATGGCATTTAACTTGCAAAAAAGTATTAAATTCAAATTAACTGGAATATTTCAGCCAAAGTTAATACTCACGCCCATGTTTCAGCATAACCCTCCTAATTCCATCCAAAATCCACAAACATCTATTTTCTTTCAAAAGAACAATTTAACAGCAAATCCTAAACTATAATAGGTTTATTCTCATTATCTTTAATAACCAGAGTCCTTAATGGATAATACATTATCAAAGAAACACAAATATATTTATTTTCTTTCAAAATTTTAAATTTATGATAGAAATAGTTTTATCAGACGATTACTTCAACACCAAACATGTTTTTTCTTTCATTTCTGGTTTACCATTCAACAGAAATCCAGCAGGGAAAGTTGTATCGTAATTTAAGCATAAATTTGTGGCTGCAATCAGATGGTTAAATTTGGTTAGCTATTTCAACAAATTGTTCGAAGCAAACTATTAGTGTTTACCTAGCTATGTATATATGGGCCATTGCCAATAACTGTAACAGAAATCTACACTCACCTGAAGCTATGGTTTGTGAGGTATTTAATGACGGCTGGTTTGATGCGAGCAATGCCTCCCTGGCTGTGGTTTCCTCTGCCCGTAATCACAGAGAGATAGGGCTTACCGCCATTCTGCCTAAATTCTGTTATAACAGAAAAGTTAAAGTAAATTTATCTAATTCTCTCAAAAGAAAACCAACTTTAACTCAAACACACATAAAATTGCTTTTATGAGAACTTAAAAGATTTACTACTTTAAAAAGCCCCAAAACTAATGTTGCAAAACGTATGTTTTATCTACACTGTAAGTATGAAAGCTTCAGAGCAAACCACCCAACTAAAAATTTTGGCAGGACTTCTCCCCCTTCTACTTCTCTGAGAAAATGATAATTACAACAATAATAATAATAACGATACTTACCAATTATGGTACACATGAAGTCAGGCACTGCTTTAAGTGATTTTTATTTATTAACTAAAAATCTTCACAACAACCCTAGGAAGTGATACTGAGAAGGCATCAAGCTTTGGTCTGAATAAAAGCTCTGCCACTAAGTGACTGTGGGACCATGCACAAGTCTCTTGGCTTCGCTGTGTGCTTCCTCCTCAATAAAATGGAGTAACAATAGCCAACTACTTTATAGAATCTCCCCTCAGAACAGCTATTAGCAAATCCACTAACAACAGCAGTGACTGCAGCCCTACTATTAAATATAATCAATTTTTTCTTAACCTAAACTTTTCCAAAAAGGATGATTTTTAAAATATCAAACAAGCCTAAGCCCATTGAAAACCTGAAAGGTTACAGTTGGTGCTTTTAAGTATGAACTTGCAAAAATCAAGTATATGAATCCTGAAAATCAATAACTGTCAAACAACAGCAAAAACTATTAATAATAAAGAATTGCTTTCATGAATTTAATCATCGATCTTTGTTAACACATAGCCCAAATCTGATCTTTAGTATAAAACACATAACATATAATACAAACACTCCATAATTTGCCCATGAAGTTGCTCTAAGACTCCAGCTGAAATACAGACAGATGGTTTATCAAGTCTTATATGTCCAAGGTAATATTTAGCCTTTTCTTTTAAAAGGGCATGCTGCTCTTGCATTTCTAATTCCTTACCCTTCTTTAAGATTTTCTCCATTTCTACTTTAATTCATATCCATTACTTCAGAAAATATATTGTTCAAAATTCAGCCCTGAGTCTAGGCTACACAGTGTTCAACTGGTAAAAAGTTTTGGCAGTATACACTTGTAACACGCAAATTGTTCTTTATGTGTGTTATATTAAAAGTTGACATTAAAAAAATCTTGTAACTGACCATACTTGACTTTCCTCATTCCTTCACTACTATTGTCCCTACCAGTCATTTCTATCATTTCACCTTTCAAAAGTTCATTTGTTATTCTGAAAATGTTCTCAAGTTGATTCACATGCTTTAAATAAAGTAGGTGTTCAATATTGAAGGATTCTACAGGGAAAATGCTGAACAATGCAGGAAACATCAAAAGATGGAAGGAATACCCAGAGTCACTGTACCAAAAAGAACTGGTTGACACTCAGCCATTTCAGGAGGTAGCATATGACCAAGAACTGATGGTACCGAAGGAAAAGGTCCAAGCTGCACTGAAGGCATTGGTAAAAAACAAGGCTCCGGTAACTGACAGAATACCAATAGAGATGTTTCAACACACGGATGCAGTGCTGAAGTGCTCACTCATCTATGTCAAAAGATTTGGAAGACAGTTACCTGGCCAACCGACTGGAAGAGATCCATATTTGTACCCATTCCAAAGAAAGGAGATCTAACAGAACGGGGAAATTATCGAACAATATCATTAATATCACACACAAGGAAATTTTTGCTAAAAATCATTCAAAAGCAGTTACAGCAGTATATCAACAGGGAACTACAAGAAATTCAAGACGCATTCAGAAGAGGATATGGAATGAGGGATACAGTCTTAGTCATCTAGTGCTCCTCTACCAGAAATACCACAAGCGGATGGCTTTAGCAAAGAGAAGTTTATTCTCTCACAGTCCAGTAGGCTACATGTCCAAATTCAGGGTATCAGCTCCAGGGGAACGCTTTCTCTGCGGGCTCTGGAAGAAGGTCCGTGTCACCAATCTTCCCTTGGTCTGGGAGCATCTCAGCGCAGGAACCTCAAGGTCCAAAGGACACACTCTTCTCCTCACACTGCTTTCTTGGTGGTATGAGGTTCCCAGGTGTCTCTGTTCGCTTCTCTCTTTTATATTTCAAAAAAGATTGGATTAAGATACTATCCAATCTTGTATACTTCATCAGTATAACTGCTGCTAATCCATCTTATTAGATCACAGTGATTGAATTTACAACACATAAGGAAATCACATCAGATTACAGAATGGTACACAATTATACAATACTGGGAATCATGACCCAGCGAAGTTGGGAGATATTTTGAGGGGACACAATTCAATCCATGACAGATATCACTGCTGATGTCAGAGTGATCTTGGCTGAATGTAGAGAATAGCAGAAGGATGTTTACCTGTGTTTTACTGCCTATGCAAAGGCATTCGACTATGTAGATCATAACAAATTATGGATAACACTGTGAAAAATGGGAATTCCAGAACACTTAATTGTGCTTATGAGGAACCTTTACATAGACCAAGAGACAGCTATTCGAACAGAACAAGGGGACACTAATGTGGTTTAAAGTCAGGAAAGGTATGCGTCTGGGTTGTATCATTTCACCATACTTAATTCCATCTGTATGCTGAACAAATAATCTGAGAAGATGGACTATATGAAGAAGAATGGGGCATCAGGATTGGAGGAAGACTCATTAACAACCTGCGATGTGCAGATGACACAACCCTGCTTGCTGAAAGTGAAGAGGACTTGAAGCACTTAATGATGAAGATCGAAGACCACAGCCTTCAGTATGGATTACACCTCAGCATAAAGAAAACAAATGTCTTCACAACTGGACCAATAAGCAACATCATGATAAACAGAGAAACAACTGCAGTTGTCAAGGACTTCGTTTTACTTGCATCCACAATCAATGCCCATGAAAGCAGCAGTCAAGAAATCAAACAACGCACTGCACTGGGCAAATCTGCTGCAAAAGACCTCTTTAAAGTGTTAAAAAGTAAAGATGTCACTTTAAGGACTAAGGTGCACCTGACCCAAGCCATGGTGTTTTCAATCACCTCATATGCATGTGAAAGCTGGACAATGAATAAGAAAAGACTGGAGAAGAACTAATGCCTTGGAATTATGGTGTTGGTGAAGAACATTGAATATACAATGGACTGCCAAAAGAATGAATGAATCTGTCTTGGAAGAAGTGCAGCCAGAATGCTCCTTAGAAGAAAGGATGGTGAGACTTCATCTCACATACTTTCAGCATGTTATCGGGAAGGACTAGTCCCTGGAGAAGGACATCATGCTTGGTAAAGTAGAGGGTCAGCAAAAAAGAGGAAGACCCTCAACAAGATGGATGGACACAGTGGCTGCAACAATGGGCTCAAACATAGCAACAATTGTGAGGATGGCACAGGACCAGGCAGTGTTTCGTTCTGTTGTATATGGGTCACTATGGTTCGGATTCAGTTTGATGGCACCCAATGACCACCTAACAACAAAAGGCGTTCAAAATATGTTTCTTGAATGAATTAACATATATGTTTAATTCTCCAAATTACAGGCTGTTCCTGCTGTTTATCACCTCAAAAATTAAAAAAACTATTTAACTCATTTTTTAAAAATATTTTATTTGATTTTGTAGAAGATTTATTAGCAAATTAGATTCTCATTTAACAATTTCTATACATATTATTTATTCAGGGACGCTAGTTATACTTTTCACAATGTGTCTGCATTCTCATTATTTCCATTATGCTTGTTCTGTTTCCATTAATCTAGTCTTCTTGTCCCCCCTTAACTTTTCATCTTTGGTCTACGGTAAATGTTGACCTAGGTCTCATTTAGATGATTGTTTAGAGGAGGACAGTACTCAAGGGTGATATTATTTATTTTATGAGCCACTCTATCTTTTGGCTGATATGTGACCTCCAGGAGTAGTTTGTGTTTCAAGTTTAAAAGGTATCCCAGTCTCATGAGTTCCTCTAGTCTCTACCAGTCCAGTATGTCTGACCTTTTTTAGGAATCTTGAGTTTTGTTCTACATTTTTTTTATACCTTTCTATCCAGGACCATCTATCATGTCCCTGGTCAGAACGGCCGGTAGAGGTAGCCAGGCACCATCTAGTTCTTCTGGTCTCAAGGTAGGTGAGGCTGTGGTTCATGTAGACTACAAGTCTTGTAAACTAGTTTCTTCTTTGAATCTTCAGTTTCCTTCTTTCTCTTTTGCTCCAGATGAGTAAAGACCAATAGTTGTATCTTAGATGGCTGCTCGCAAGCTTTTAAGACTCTAGATGCTACTCACCAAACTACGATGCAGAACATTACCTTTACGAACTATGTTATGCCAGTTGACCAAGTTCCCTTGAGTGTTTACAACTTACTTTTAAGCACATTCAAGATTTCTTACTTCAGACATAAATATTTCAGTATCTTGAAAAGATAAGAACTTTCTTAAAAACAGAATAACAATCACATAATCACACTTTATAAAATGAACAATAGCTCCTTGTTGTTGTTAGGTGCCATTGAGTCAGTTCCGACTTATAGCAACACTACGTACAACAGAATGAAACACTGCCCAGTCCACAGACATCCTCAAAATCGTTGTTAAAGTCTTTTGTTGCAGCCACTGTGTCAATCCACCTCGTTGAGGTCTTCCTTTTCATCTCTGACCATCTACTTTAAGAAGGATGATGTCTTTCTAAAGGGACCGGTCCCTCGGGATAACACGTCCAAAGTATGTGAGACTAAGTCACACCACCCTTGCTTCTAAGGAGCATTCTGGCTGTACTTCTTCCAAGACAGAGTCATTCATTCTTCTGGTAGTCCGCAGTATATTCAATATTCTTCACCAACACCATAATTCAAAGGCATCAATTCTTCTCCAGTCTTCCTTATTCACCGTCCAGCTTTTGCATGCATATAATGCGACTGAAAATACCATGGCTTGGTCAGGCGCACCTTCATCCTTAAAATGACATCTTTGTTTTTTAAC